CTAGATAGGCTTTTAAAAATGTTATTTAAATAATCGTTTTCCATGTCCTGAGCACAAATAAAAGAAAGTTAACATTTGAATTAGCTTCTGAAAGACACTTTTATAAACTGAAGGTCCCAACCATTCCCTGTATTTAACTCCAAGGTTCAGAAAATGCTTTTCACATAGTTGTACACATATTTCATAATGTGATTAAGGGAGGCTAAGGTAGCTTAATTTCTTCTGTGTACATTTTTTACCAGAAAATTATTATCTGGTTAAAGATGAAGGATTATTTAATATTAATTAAAATCCATGGGCACACTTTTTATGCTTAAGCCTTCTTAAGTTTTTCAGTTTGTCCTGGTGCCCCTTACTTCTTTCAGTTATGGCTGAACTGAGGCATAGATACAGATACATAACTGTCTCAGCCAGAGCTGATTGCATTTTCAGGGAAAAAAGTGTTAAGTCCAAATTCTAGATACAGAAATAGTAGAACAACAACAACAAAAGAAATATTCAATAAAATTTACTACAGTTGCTAATAACTTTCCATTTCAGATGAAGACTGTCTTACTCTGCTTTGACTTATTGTCCACTTTTTCTGATGATGTGTTTGGTTTTCATTTTTCCACTAGGAAATTGAGGATTATACCATTTTCTATTCATTTCTCCAAATGTTTTATTCCCCTCATCACACAAGCATCCATGTCTCTAAATTTATCAAACATTATCAATATTTCAAGAATGCAAAACCAGGATATCTATCTGTATCCATAAAATAACAAGTGACTTTAGATCTATAAAGGAATGTTAAAGTAGAGCATATGTTCATTTTCCTACCTCCAATTTTTTTTTTTTTACATGGCATTAGAAATTTACTCCCATCAATGTTTGAACAAAAACTTTGCTTTGTGCCTAGGTCGTAGGCTGTGCCTTGAACTTGGACCAACTCTGCCTTAAAAGTGATGGCAGTATGCCCAGTGTGCGCCTATAGTCCCAGCTACTCACCTGAACCCAGGAGTTTGAGACCAGCCTGGGTAACATAGCAAGACCCCGTCTCAAAAATAAAAACAAAGTGATGGCAAGGATTGAACTATTGAATATATATCCCACCTCTTCTAACAGAATATTTACTCTTCTATAAAAACTAAGTTTTAATGTTTGTTTGTTTTTTTTAAACTAGGTAATTTCGTCTGTGCCAAAGCCTGCAGAGGACAAGCTGGAAGATGTGCATACAAGTCCTCCATTTAAACAAAGAAGAAGAATATAGATTGCCAGCAGCAAATCAATGTTTTCTGAAGAGAATGTTTTTTGTTTTTAGCCTATCATTTTAATTCTTCAAGAGATTTTACTGCTGGTGTTCTTTAACTGCTGGTGTTTGCACTCTTTGTAATTTCATTCAAGCTATTTGTCTAAAATCATTTCTTTTTTTTTGATCCATACTTCATATTACAGAAACTGTTCTTCTCATATAACATTGTCTGTCACTTTGCCATAACTAAATGTAAATTAATTAAAGCAAATATAGAAACTTCACAGTACAAATAAAGATAGGCAGCCAGGATCTGTTTCTGATTTTCATACAAGTATTGAGTGGTTCACATTCAAAAACAAGAAGTCAGGATGTTTCTGAATGCCAGGGCTTCGAAATAAAGACAATTCTGTAAAATAAAAAAGTTAATTAACTGTTAGAGGAAAGCTGAAATTAGAAGCTTACATGCTTTAGTTAACTTCTAAGAAGAATTTACTTGATCTGTGGCAATCAAAAACAAATTAGTATTTGTAAATTCTAAACTTCTACCACTACTTTGGCATATCCACACTTTTCTCTGTTAGTGGACCATATGGTTGAAATACAAGTATATCCAGGCTATTTCCATTTTCTTTACTGATAAAAACAACTTGGGAAGGCCCATACTACATGGTGTGTGTTTTTAATTTCTCCCTATCCTTAGTGGCTTCTTGCCTTGTGGATTGAATTTGAACATAGGTTCAAATAAGGTAAATAAGGTTCAACTTCAGCTATCATGATGTGATCCAAATTCGCTAGGATGGCTCTAAGTGGTGGATGGTACTAAAAGAAGCTGCCGGCAAGGGATTAGGCTCTACTTCCGTGTGAGGTATTTGGAAATATTTTTTGCTGAAATCTCAGGTAAAAGATATATTAGAGACCTAAGCATAGACTTGGAAAGAACAAATTACATTCCAGATCAGCCTTCTCAGACTTTAAGGTGCTGTGAATCTCCACCTCAGGATCTTGTTAAAATGCAGATTCTGATGGTAGTGGGGCTGTGGGCAGGGGGAATGGGGAGTTTAATGGACACAGAGTTTCAGTTTTGCAAGATGAAGAGTTCTGGAGATTAGTTGCGTGACAGTGTGAGTATATGTAACACTATTGAACTGTACACTTAAAAATGGTTAAAATGGTCAATTTTATATTAGGTGTATTTTAACCACAGTTTTTTTTTAAAAGTTCTCTGACAGCCCTAAAGGGAGGAGCTGCTAAATGGGTTCTGTGTGCCTGAATGGGTTTCTGATCTGTTCTGTGATCCTGTGAAAGCCACTCCTCCCTATCCCCACCAACATACACAATATTTGATCATGATAAGAGAAAGAAAGAAACCTTTGGGAACCAAGAAGTAAATGCCCATCAACTAATGAGTGGATAAAGAAAATGAGGTGTATATATACCATGGAATACTACTCAGCCATAAAAAAGAATGAGATAATGTGTTCAGCAGCAACTTGGGTGGAACTGGAAGTCAAAATCCTAAGTATCTCAGGAACGGAAGAACAAATACCACATGTACTCAGTGGGAGCTAAGCGATGGGTCTACGTGGCTATACAGAGTAGTAGATTAATATAATATACTTTGGAGACTCAGAGGGGGAAGGATAGGAGGAGGGTAAGGAATCAAAAATAACCTGACAGGTACACTAAAATCCCTGACTTCACTATAAAATTCATCCATGTCACAAAAAAACCGCTCATACCCCGTAAATCTATTGAAATAAAAAATAAACCTTTAGTATGTCAAGCAGCCAAAAAAAAAAAAAAAAAAGACTCTGTTAGTTTGGGGTGGGGTCTGAGATTCTGTATTTTTCCCAAGTTCCTAGGTAATGCCACTGCTGCTGGTGGTGCACAGACCACACTTTGAGTAGCAAGGCTCTAGATATCTGGGCTACAGATGAACTCTCTGGGAGTAGCTGAAGAACTGTTGTCTGTTCTAAGAATAGTTACTCCAATCCAGTCCATTATGCTATACTGTTTTCCCCCATCAGTCTCTTCAAATTGGAAACCTGCCTTCCACACATTGCTTTTTGCCACATATTTTGAGACAATTAAAATGTGGGGTCTAAGCCTGAGTAACATAGCCAGACCCTGTCTCTACAAAAAATTGTAAAAAGTAGCTAGGCATGGTGGGGCACACCTCTACTCCCAGCTACTCGGTAGGCTGAAACAGGAGGATGCCCTGAGCCCAGGAGTTCAAGGCTGCAGTGAGCTATGATCACATCACTGCACTCCAGCCAGAGCAACAGAGCGAGACCCTTTCTAAAGAATAAAATTTAATATGTGGGGTCTCGGGAATAAATGACAGTAGGACAAGTGGGAAAGATGAGCTGATATGGCTAAGGACAGCTTAACAACATGCAAGTTAATTTACAAAATCACTATATAAATTACTGCAGAAAATAAAGTTTCTTCCTATGTGGGTTTGAAAAGCACAGTTGATCAAAGGAAGGAAATTTTATGACCCAATTGATTATTAGGCTGACCATTTCAGCTCGAAACTTTTGTTAGATTCATACCGTCATAAGCACAAACAAAATACTATAAAGTACTATACATGTATCCAAAATTTTAAAAACTTACTTTATCTTCATTGTTTGACAATGATTGGGTTGGAAGAGATCAACTGTTCTAGCAGTTTATGGTGGGTACTTGCTGGATCCACTCTTTATTCAATGTTCTATCCCTTAAGCAAGCCAGTATACCCTGGTTTTGGTTTGGGAAATATTGTCACCATACTTACAGAAAACAGGAATTGTGTATGGCTAAAGAGGTTACAAGCTCAATAAAAGTCTGGTGAATATAGTTACTGAAATAGTCACTGGTGCTATGTTACGGCCCAAATGCTAGGTTGGGGCTGAGCTCTTCATGACTCCCTGAACTTCAGCAGTAGGCTGCAGCTCCACAGAGGTGAGTGTCTAGCAAGTAACACTTTCTGATCCTTTAAAATTTTTCCTCAACCAATTAGGGCTGTTGGCACTTGTAACCATACCTTTGCTTCTGGTAAACATGGTCCAAACACCTCCAACAGAAGTCTGTCGTCTCTCACTGCTTTTTCAAAGTCTGCAAAAGATATCTTGCCATCGTTGTCATAATCCTAAAGAGGAAGATATTTCTTGTTAAATGACAGAGCAGTTTTTAACTTTGCATGAAAATAGCTATCCAAAAGGTTTTGCCAAGTAAAACTGTAAGTTCACACTATTTATATATATAATCAAAAGGTATTTATTTATGGAGGCCACTTACTTTCCTCCTGTTCTTCTCATAGGCATACCTGAGTTACCTTAGATATATTATTAAGTGTATCCCTACCCCTAAAACAGTTTAATTAGAGAAATAAGACAAAAAAGCAAGAGGATGCCCATTATTACATTGCAACTTTTGTGATAAGAGCAACAGGGCAATGGTTTTCAAGCTTGATTTTTTGTAGAACTTGTTCCTCAAAAGATCTCTTACTTGGGAGCCCATCAGGTAAAAAGGATAAAAGTGAAGTTGCTCAGTTAAGGCACTGGGAGTCCCACCATTAACAGTTCAGGGTGGACTAGAGTCCTGAGAAGACTTGCAGAACACTGGCTTGGCCTTTAGGGATGGCTGAGATCTGGATAGGTAGAGCGGTGTGGGGAGGAACTGCAGAAGAACGGCCCACCGGAGTGAAGCCTTCATGATGGGGATTAGGAGAGACTAAGTACGTTGTGCAGGAGAGGGGGTTGGGGGTTGGGGGGACACATGCAGATCATCAATGCCTTTAACTGCTTAACTGGATTGGATTAGGTCCTTCAGGGTTGCTGAGAGTCTAATCTAAAGTTTCAATAATTGTCAGAAAAAGGTTTAGTCCATAAACATTTCCTTTCAAAAAATAAGGGGGTGGCTGGTACTCTGAAACATACTGTCTCTCAAGAAGTCTACTCTCGGCCCTAGCAGAGGCCAGTGAGAGCACTTCTAAAAGAGGAGGATATTGTGGAGCCTGCATTAGCTGACTCTGAGACTCCAAAGCCCCTACCATCCATTTCTTTCCTGAACTCCAGAGTAGGTAGGTGTGCTGGGCCTGGGCTGCCTTAGATTCACAAAATCTCACTGGTATCCAGTTTAGGGTCATAGTGAGAAAGGGGCAGAAATCACTATGTCTGTAACAAGGAGATACTATAGGTTTTATTGAAAGATGAATTCTGCACCCCATTTTCTAGGATGACCTTGGGTAAACCTTTCTGTATTTCAGTTTTCTCACCTGTAAAATGGAGATAATAGTTTCTACTTCATAGGGTTGTTTTTAGGATAAAATGAGTTCATACATTAAAGCTCTCTGAAGGGCCTGGCATATAGTTAGCACTCTATAAGGGTCAACTATTTTTATTATGTTATTTTGTTGTAATCAGTGTTTAGACGGATTGGAGGAGTGAGGTCATGAAGACAAAATAAAGTAGCATCCAATTTTACACAAATTGAATCTAGTCTCCTCCCAAATTAATGAGGTTTTACTGATAGTGAAATGTTTTAAAATAATTAACATTTAGTCACCCAGCTATTTCATAAATATTTATTGAGCACCCACTCACTATCAGCCAGGTGCTGTTCTAGGCAATGGATAGAGCAGAGAAGAAATAAAAAATCCCACCCTCATAAATCTTATATTCATTATGGAGGAAAATAAACATAAATAAATAAATCGTATGATTGAATATAATGCATCACAGTTTTTCATTCTTACCATTTTCTTCAGTGTTATATCTACCAACTCTTTTATTCCTTCATCAGTCTCTTCTTCAGATGGTTGTTGGTGTAGACTGTTCTTCAATATGTCAAATATTTCCTCTCGGGAAATGTAACCATCTCCATTTAAATAATAGACTTCAAAACAGACTTTTTAAAGCACAAGAAGTTTAAAGGATTTGGATAAGAATTGTTAAAACGTCATTAGTCTTCTCTGTAGTTATTTCAATATATGACACCAAAGGATAAAAACAACTTATACATCATACAACTACTAATCTAATCCACTATATAGAAGAGAAATTTTAGAATAAAGCATTCTTCATTATATTTCTTTCTACCAGATTAAATACCCCTTGGTATGTGGAAAGAAAGGTTTATAATTTCTGGATTTTAATACTGTTTCTTTTTTTTTTGTCTCTTTTTTTTTGTAGACTGTTCTCCTTTGACGTATGGATTTTGATATTGAGGGTTTAAAAATGTTATGAAGCTGAAATAAAGGAGATAAATTTTTTAAACCTTTGATCATGCAATATATATATATACATATACATACATGTATATGTATGTGTATCTATATCTATACCAATATTCTAATTCTCTTCTTACATAGAGTACCAAAACAAAATATACACTTCACTGTATCAGTGAAAAAGAATGTTTTTCAGTATATTTGGATAGTAAGCCAGTCATCTCCTTGAGCCTGCCCATCTAAATTATCCAAAATTTTCAAATAACCTCTTCCTGGAGAGTGACTTCCACGACTTACATCTACCGTGTAAGCACCAAAGTTCACTCATTCATCCCATGAATGACCTTATTCATTCAGGTCCTGGGAATACAGCAGTGACAGAGCTCTTGTGGAGTTTATAGTTTAATTAAATGTTTTGGCAAAAGCTAACTCAGGAATAGATCTCCAGAGTTATCATATTATAATTGTTGTGTCTTTTTGTTGAATTTCTCCAATCTATAGCATATATATGAGTTTGTAACACAACCCTACCAGAAAGTACTAATTTTCCCCAAATTAACATATCTTTAAATGTATATCAAACATTTTTAGGAAGTGAGATTGGAAGAGGAAAATTTTTTTGACAGTGTGATGCTATTCAACCATGTACAGCTGCATTCAGTGTCACAACCATTTTCAACACGTATTATTAGGTTATTAAGTATGGAATGTTGATCTCCTTAAGTACTAAGCTTGACAGTTGATTTCTCTGCCATTTCACTTTGACACTTTTTTTTCTTTATTGTGAAGGTACATCCTCATTCTTTCAAATGCACATTTTGGCTTGTGATTATCTTTCAAAATTTTTTTAAGAGCAATTTTTGTGAAACCCTGAATAAGTAAAAAATTCGTGTTATTTTTGAATATGAGTTCACTTGTGGAAACAATGCAGCGCAGACAGCTTGAAATATTAACGAGTGTTTGGGAAGGATGTGGCTAATGAATGCACGATATGTCCATGGTTTGAGAAGTTCAATTCTGGTGATTTTAATCTTGAAAATAAGCCATGTGGGTGACCTGAGACCAAAGTAGATAATGATAAGCTAAAACGCTGTAGTGGAAGCGAATCCATCTCAACCTATGCGTGAATTAGCAGCAAGGTTTGACATTACTATTCCAACGATATTGAACCATTTGAAACAAATGGGCAAGGTAAAGAAGCTGTATAGATCGGTACCGCATGAATTAAATGAGCATCAGGAGAGAAATCATCTCAAAGCTTGCCTTTCTTTCTGTCATGACATAAAGAGAAACCATTTCTACACCATGTTATGTGTGACGAAAAATGGATTCTTTGTGACAATTGCAAGAGTTCAGCACAATGGTTGGATAAAGAGGAAGTGCCAAAACACAGTCCAAAACCGAATATTCACCCAAAAAAGCTAATGGTGTCTGTTTGGTGGTCTGGCGCTGCTATTATCCACTACAGCTTCACGAAACCTGGTCAGTCAATGACAGCGGATGTCTACTGCAACCAATTGGATGAAATGATGAGGATGCTTGTGATTAAGCAGCCGAGATTGGTCAAGAGACCAGGCCAATCCTCTTGCAAGATCACATGTTGCAAAAGATAATGCTGCTCAAACTACAGAAGCTGGACTTGGAAACTCTGTCACCCACTGTATTCACCAGACCTTGCACCAACTGACTACTACTTCCTCCAGGCTTTGGACCACTTCTTGCAAGGAAAAATATTCAATTCTCAACAAGCTGAGAAAAACACCTTTCACGATTTCACTGTCATGCACTCTCCAGGCTTCTTGGCTGCTGGCATAAGCAAGCTACCATCAAGATGGCAAAATTGTGTCGATAGTTTAGGCACATACTTTGATTAATTGTACTGCTTTTGGTTTCAGATATAATAAACTAAACTTTTGATTCAAAATCAGACATTTCATAATTAATGACCTAACTATTATTACGATAATAATTTACATTCATGAAATTTAGCTTTTCACTTCTCAGTGAGACTTTTGTATAAGAACACTGTAGCAAATTTAAGTGGTAACTATATTTAAATGTTATCTCATGAAAAATTGGAGTGGAGGAAAAAAGTTAAGGAAAAAATACAAAACAGAGAAACAGAAAAATTCATAAATGTCAAAGAAATGTTGCAATTAAAAATTGCTGCTATTATTTTTAAATGTATCTTTAATTTGGGGATCTTCTTTTCAAATTCAAATTCAAGTGGAAGAATAAGAAGGGATAAAAATTTGCTCATGCACACAGAACTTTGTAGTTTTTTCTTGAGCAAGTAGACATTTTAAGCAATTTGTTCCCTTGAAAACTACTATTTAAAATTGTTCCTTGAGGTACCTCAAAATACTAAAAACAGAACTACCATATTATCTAGCAATTCCACTATAGGGTACATATACAAAAGAAAGGAAATCAATGTATCAAAGAGCTATCTGCACTCCGTGTTTATTATAGCACTACTCCTAGTAGCCAAAATATGGAATCAATCTAAGTGCTCATCAACAGATGGATGAATAAAGAGAATGTGATATATACACACTGAAACATTATTCAGCCACAAAAAAGAGTCAAATTCTGTCATTTGAAGCAACATGGATGGAACTGAAGGTCGTTATATTAAGTGAAATAAGCCTGGCACAGAAAGACACATATCATATATTCTCACTTATATGTGGGAGCTAAAAAAGTAGATCTCATGAAGATAAAGAGTAGGATGGTGGTTACCAGAGGCCAGGAAAGAGAGTAGGGAGGAGAGGATGAAGGGGGTAAAAAAGGATATAAATGTATCTATTACCACTTAACCGTACATTTAGAAATAGTAAAGATGGTAAATTACATATGTATAGCTTGCCTCGATTAAAAAATAAATAAATAAATAAACAAATAAACTGTACCTATTCTCTTCCCAGGGTTCCTCGTCCAAACTCTTGACACCAGAGGTTAAAGCATAGGAAATGAACAATACCCCAATGGTACAGGCCAGAGCAAATTCTAGGTAAAACTGTGAATTGGGAGATTATTGTCTTTGGAATTCATAACATTCCTTTTCTGTAGGAAGCTCTGTTGATAATCCTCCTCCCTGTGGGCTTTTATTGTCATTAATCTTCTTCCCTTTCTTTACTTCCCTCTTCCATCCGTCATCTAAACTAACTCTAACACTAAAGTATTGATGTCAGGTGGTTAATTTGTGTTTTACCTCGTCTTAGCGTCAACCCTCACATTTTCTTTGTGAAAAGACAAGGAATGGCCCCTATGTAACACGCGCACCGCCCCACGTTGAGGCCCATTTCCTGCTGTGCCCAGAGGCAGCCTCAGAAACCTCAGCCCTGCCAGGTAATCAGAGTTGGCACAAGCCCTGACCCTTAGTTGCTGTTCTTAGCCTGTGCCATAAGCCAAAGACCCATCCTGATGACATTTGTGCATTACAGAACCAGTGACGGACCTTGGGTTGGGGAGTCCTCCTTGACCTTACAATTGTTCCACCCATTTCATTTGTTGGGTTTGTTTTATTTTTAAAGCTGTCATGAACTATTTTTGAAAGGTTGCTATAGAGAACATTGATTTTATATTTTTAAATATTATATTTAAACATTCATTAAATACAAAATTGACAATATGTAGTATTAAGCCAGTAATCACATATAGAAATCTTACACTTTAGCTTTTCTTCAAAAGTCCCTCGAAGAAACACTGATAATCCTTTAACCCACTCTTTTACATTTATGTGGTTATCCTTGTCTTTGTCAAAGACAAAAAACACTGAAAGAAAAAGAATGTGCAAGTGTATTGTAACTTAGTGCTATTTTATAGTTCAACAGTATGTAAGTATGAATAGATAGAAAAACTTTTCTCCCAAATCAAGGGGAACAAAAGGTTTTGGCACAGTCTTCTTGAATGAATCAAAATTATGGAAATGTGGCTGGGTGCAGTGGCTTGCGCCTGTAATCCTAGCATTCTGGGAGGCTGAGGGCGGAGGATCACTTGAGGCCATGAGTTCAAGACCAGCCTGAGCAAGAATGAGACCCCATCTCTACAAAAAATAGAAAAATTAGCCAGGCATGGTGGCACGTGCCTGTAGTCATAGCTAAACAGGAGGCTGAGGCAGGAGGATCACTTTAGCCCAGGAGTTTGAGGTTGCAGTAAGCTGTGATCATGCCACTGCACTCTAGCCTGGGGTACAGAGCAAAACTCTATCTCAAAAATAAACAAACAAATAAATAAAAATTACTGGAAATGTGTTTCCTTCTCCCTATATTTTTAAAGAAGGAAAAGAATCTCTCTCTCTCTCTCTCTCTCTCCCTTTAGAGTGACAGGGTCTCGCTATGTTGCCCTGGCTGGAGTGCAGGGCATAATCAGAACTCACTGTAATCTCAAACTTCTGGGTTTGAGCAATTCTCCTGCCTCAGCCCCTCTAGTAGCTAGGACTACAGGTGCCCTGCTAATTGTTTTGTCTTTTGTAGAGATGGGATCTCACTATGTTGCCCAGGCTGGTCTAAAACTCCTGGCCTCAAGTGATTCTCCCAATGTGCTGGGATTACAGACATGAGCCACTGCACCTGGCCAGAAAAGAGTCATTCTTCTCCATGAGCAATGATAGGCTTCATTTGTGGTGTTTTGTACAGTTATTATGAGCCACGAAGATAAACAGTAGAGCTGATCAAGGTGGTGGTTTTTATTCTAAAAAAAGTGGTGAAAATTAAGTTCTAAAGAGTTTGCACAGTACCTAAAGGTAAATTATTAAAATAATATATTTTTAAAATTACCAATGAAATCTTAGTATTATTCTATAAAAATAAGTTAAAATATTATTTACTTTTTTGGAGATAATGAATATGTTAATTATTTGATTGTGGTGATGATTTCTTAGGTGTATACATGTGTCAAAACTTGTCAAATTGTACATTTAAAAATCTATTACTTAAACCAACCAGATCACATTAAATAATTTCCTATTTTAAATATATGATCTTTTCTTTGATTTTTTTCAATATAATGAGTCATTATCATTTTTATACTGACTGATACATTCATTTTTATGAGAAAAAGAAGCCATTCAATAATCTATATGTCTACAGCATGTTACTCTAAAGACATCATGATTAAAAGCCACAATTGGCTTATCTTTTAAAAAACAGTAGTGCTAACTTATTTAGTTCATTACTGGTTATTTCTAAAAGCTGAACAGCTATGAGATATGAAATTCTGAGTTTGTATTAAAAACCATTGTCGCAATCAAGCCAATTATTATTTGCAGCACTACACTTGCAAGAATTATGCCTTTCTCATTTGACATTGAAAAGATTCAAGGTCTTTGGTGAAAATTGAATACATACATATCTGCTATCTCAGGTTAGTCCATTTTAGTCTCCTAGGACTTCTTACCCCTATTCATCAATATATCATCAGTCATTCCAAACATGCTGTGCAGGATTGCTCGAAATGTGTTACGGTCTAGCCCCATGTTATCAAATCTTCCATCAGTTCTGCCCCCCAAGTGGTGAAAAAGTCTTATGAGACACTCTATTTCACTTTTTTTGACTGTAAAATAAAAAGACAAATAAATACAACTTAGCTTTAATCATTGAGTTATTCAACCCAATTAAATACATTTTACTAAGCAGCTATTTTGTTTCTATGATGCTAGGTGCCCTGATGATAGGGAAAAAATATGATATGGACTTGCTCCTTAGCTTACACAATGAAGGTGGGCTTCACTCAGAAGTCTCATAAGATAGTATATAACTGCTAAATTATGTAATATAATGCTCACCGTCATAGACATGTGAAGAGAAATCAGTATGGGAAAGATGGGTTTGGACATTTTCATGGGAGAAGTAGACTTTGAATTGGGCCTTGAAGGATGCAGATAGTTATATAGGAAGGAATGTGCTGAGTATGGTAAAGAAGTGAAGAATTCTAGGGAAAGGGGACAACATGAGTAAAGGAAAGAGGTAGAATTAGGGTTGAGATTGAACACGCTTTATTGAGAGCTAACAAGGACTTGGGAAGAAGTGAACAATAAGGTTGATGGTAGAGGGCCTTGAATGCCTGGTCAGAGAATTAATATTTATTGTAATGGAGCAGCATTTCTCATGGTGTCGTTTTTGGATGAAAGGTTGCTATAGAGAACATTGATTTTATATTTTTAAATATTATATTTAAACATTCATTAAATACAAAATTGACAATATGTAGTATTAAGCCAGTAATCACATATAGAAATCTTACACTTTAGCTTTTCTTCAAAAGTCCCTCGAAGAAACACTGATAATCCTTTAACCCACTCTTTTACATTTATGTGGTTATCCTTGTCTTTGTCAAAGACAAAAAACACTGAAAGAAAAAGAATGTGCAAGTGTATTGTAACTTAGTGCTATTTTATAGTTCAACAGTATGTAAGTATGAATAGATAGAAAAACTTTTCTCCCAAATCAAGGGGAACAAAAGGTTTTGGCACAGTCTTCTTGAATGAATCAAAATTATGGAAATGTGGCTGGGTGCAGTGGCTTGCGCCTGTAATCCTAGCATTCTGGGAGGCTGAGGGCGGAGGATCACTTGAGGCCGTGAGTTCAAGACCAGCCTGAGCAAGAATGAGACCCCATCTCTACAAAAAATAGAAAAATTAGCCAGGCATGGTGGCACGTGCCTGTAGTCATAGCTAAACAGGAGGCTGAGGCAGGAGGATCACTTTAGCCCAGGAGTTTGAGGTTGCAGTAAGCTGTGATCATGCCACTGCACTCTAGCCTGGGGTACAGAGCAAAACTCTATCTCAAAAATAAACAAACAAATAAATAAAAATTACTGGAAATGTGTTTCCTTCTCCCTATATTTTTAAAGAAGGAAAAGAATCTCTCTCTCTCTCTCTCTCTCTC